TTATTCGATATCTCCCCATTTCCCCGCACACTTGTTTTTCATCATTAAGTCGTGTTTTAGTGAACTACTTTTTAATCAAAATAAAACATAAATAAAGGAACGTTTCCAGAGAATTTGTGTTTTTCTCCAAAAATGAACTTCCCTAAATATCCTTCGTAATTCGAATTTGAATTCGACAACGTCTCTAACTTGACCAAAGGTGATGAATATTTTATGTGTACACAGACAAGGAAGAAAGTTTTGGTTATGAATAATAAGTTGAACAGAAATTTGTTTGTGAAGAAAAACATCTTAAGTGATTATTCCGGTACTTGGTGCAGAACAAAGTGATGTTTGAACGCAAGGAATGAATGAATGTCACTACTCTTGCATTATTCTGTACTTCAGAGAAATGTGAAATTTAATCGCTTGTTTTTGAGTTAATTCTAAAAAAAGCTTTAAACTGTTCTGCAGATATCGGAAATTCTGACATATAATCTTTATCTGGTTTACAATGCCTTAATCCCTTCATAAGGAGCCGTAAATTAATCAACATATTACACCTATGTAATGTTTAATTATTTGAAAACGAAGGTTTTCGCTGAATCTTGAAGAACTATCCCTGCATTTGGCGAGGTTTGAACTTAAAAGAAATGAAAAATTCAAAATTGTAATCTAAGAAATAGAAATAAAATAAGCACAGGTGAAAGCAGCTTTTGTTCTGCAAGTTTGGCGGCAATTAGCGAAATGCTACCCCATCCATCCCCGGTCTTGTGGCGACCTTTTTTGAATAAACTTGTTTTTGTAGCACTCCCTCCTACTGAGCCGGAACCTATTAAACCAGCTTGTCTTTTTAATCGAAGCGCATCTGAACTGTGAGATTTTGATGCACTGAAAGGAAACATCAATCTGGATAGGTTATCTTCCTACCAGGTTTTAATAAACTGAACGGTTTCATGCCGTTGGCCTGACCAGGTTGTCAGTCAGTTTCTTAAACAGTGCTTTAAATGACTGCATTCTTCGAGAAAATTGACGCTAGTGTTTTATGGACTTGTCGTCGTCTTGACGCTTAATGGCGTCAAAACAATTGTAGGGCAGCCTAAGACCCTTCAGGCGAACGGCAAATGCTTTGAATAACAGAAAAGATAATTAGAAATACAAAGGCCCTTCTCTTGTTGGTGAGTATTAACTATTTGTATCTAACTTTCATTTTATCCATTTCTCTCTAAAAGAGCGCTCGATGAGGCAGGAAACTGCATTTATTTTACCGTTAAGTTTCTTTAGGTATTAGCGTTCTTAATGCTCACTCGCTGAGATTTTCAAATGCCATACCATGCTGAAAACAGTTTTTAGAAAATTGATTTCACTCGATGTCAATACGTTAAACCACTATCCTGTGGTGAATCATTCCAGAATTTTCCTCAATTCACTTACCAAATAATGGTTTTGCTTTTAGATTAGTGTTGCGCTCTCACATTCTCGCTGTGAATCTCTCTGGCCTTTTCTATATGAAAAAAAAAATGGGAGCGAGTTCGTTTATGTATTTTGAAACAGAGGCTATGGAGAACAGTAAACTTAGCTAATTACACGAGCTTTAAGTTGCCTTCCTCGTCAAGTCTTCCTTAGGAAACCTTGAATAAAGCTACTTAATTCAGTGTGTTAAACTATGGGGAGAGTACCTCTTTCTCCGGTAGATTGTGCGAGAACCTTACAGGCTTGGCATCTTCGCAAAGTGGTTTTGGGTGATGTTTATCGAGGATTCAAAGTTTAGATCCATTTCAGCTATTGGGCATGCTTATCATCAGCTCTTTGCAGCTTTACCCAATCAGGGTCTGCATGGTATGCAAATATCTTGTTCGCTACACAAACAAATGGAGCTCCACGAATGATGAGCGTTTGAGTGACGCACCAGATGAGATTGAACTTATTTGAAGTTGCTTTATGACATTGAGAGAATCACTCAGTTTTGGCCCTTTTTCATGTCAACCTATTTGGAAAGAACACCTTATCATTCGATTACTTTGTCGTAATGATATCTCGGCGTTTTCCAAAGGACTTATTGTGGAACAAAGTTAATTTTTTAAACAATCGAAAGAGATAAATTATCAGAAGTCTTGTTCACTATCATGGTTTCTGGAATAATGAACCCCGTCACTCAGTTATCCTGTAATGCAATGACTTCACGTCACATTCTGACATTTTGCCTTTAACCTGTCAACTAAGAAAAATTAAAACTTGCGTTTTGTATTTAAAGGTATCTATAGGAATATTATTGAGGATTATAATTTAATTTGCTGTAGCTTGTTTGTTTCATACATGTTTTGGTGTTAGCAGAGAAAAACTACTTCCTTAACGAAAAACAATTCTGTCATTTGGCTTTTTAATTTGCCATAAAACTATTGCGCAGACTATTAAGCAAACATAAAACATAACAAGGTTTGTTATGTTTATAAAAGCAATAGGCAGCACCAAAAACATCTTTGTAACCGGAAAACAGGAACACCCTTGGGTGGCATTCATCTTTGAAATTAACACTCTAAAGAGGTTGTATAATCATCATTTCGTGTTTGCTTTTCTTTTAACCTTTCAATTTCTTCGAAAGCTGAATTGAATAACAGAGCAGTGGGTCTCGTTTGTTGTATCCATATTTCAGAATTAATTGACCTGTTGCCTCACTTAAAGGTCATTACTGACGAAAAATCACAATAACCTTTCCTTTAGATGCTTACCGCCGTAAAACCGCAAGCAAAAATTTCAAAGAAGAGAATAATTCAGGCTCATCAGTCATCGTTTTCCGACTATAGTGCCTCGAAGAGATCTTTAGGTAAGAAGGTACGGGAATGAGAGCTGGTGAGAGTAGTGGGTGGTATCTCCTTTACAAGTTATCGTGGAACGTGCCCATTTATATTCGGCACATTATTTCCTACGAAATCAAATTTTACAAAGGTCTTTGTAATATGCCTATCGCCGGGTCTTTGAACCAAATATGGTCTGAATGCTTCAACGAAATCATCTTACCAAGAAGATCAGTTTTATGCCCCTTTCTTGCCCCCTCCCCTCCCCCCACAGTTATTTGGTTACTCAATTTTCAAACACCAAAGGTACAACCACTAAAACTTGATAGTTGTAGGCCCGCACGGCAGACGAAATAGTGATCAAAACTCCCCGGTGGCTGACAGGATCCCCCCATTTTGCCAACTTAATATATCTTAGGAGAAAAGCAGAAAATTTTAAAATGAGGAAAAACATCATTCGCGTAGGGAAACGAACATTTCACTGAATTTTGTTTCATAGTACATGCAACCTGCTGCTATAAAATCAGGCCAATTCAGGCTCATGGCAGTCAGCAATTCTCTAACCTCGACGTTCTATATTGAATGGTTCTAAAACAAGTAAAACAGGTATAAAACCTAGGTTTATTCCCCAAATTGGCGAAAGAGGACCTACTGGGCCTTCCTCCGTAATTTTAGGAGGTTTTTTCCAAGAAAGGGAGCCCAGAAGAAAGTGGGTGCCTCGAAAGTTGTTTGAAATTATTTTTATAGTCTTATTTGTTTTATGCAGCTTTTGTTTATTTATTGATTTTAAATTGCGAAAATCCCGCAAAGCCGCGCTCTGGAATAAATCATGTAAACCTATACTGGGGTTAACGAGGTATTGATGGACAAGATGCAATGTGTTTTGAATTACAAGCTACGTTGTGCTAACCTATTACTCCTATCACTCCTACGAGTGACCAATGCAGAATTTCTCCTTACAATAATGTATTAAGCTGACAAGTGATGAGAATAAAATAAAAAATAAACTTGGTTATTAGTAGTTGATGCTAAATTCTCAGAACTAACATCATAAGAATTGTATGCTAGACAGAAGATTTACTAATTTGAACTTGGAAGGGGAGGGGCTGATATATTTAACTATAAAATGCAGAAACTGAATTCCAAAATTAGAAAACATCTTGAGGGGATGTTACTTTGTTTTGGTAAAATCCTATTTTGAGCTCACATTTTTTAAAGTATTGACCTGTATTTACAATTCAAAGTGATTGGTTGAAACTAGAAGATGAATTGTCCAAATAATATTTAGTCTTTTTTCTTGATGGAAATATTAAATGTAGAAAACTCTCAAGACCTTGCAATGTTGTTTTTTCATTATCCAGCATTTTAGTTTTGTTTCAAGACATTACATATAAAATCACCGAGAATAATCAAGCCAAGCAAATGACTAAGCTGGTCAAATGACAAGAAGGCCAATTAAAAGAAAATAGTTCTAAAGCTGTAGCGGATAAAAAAGGATTTCCATCCGAGCCCCTCATACTGCGATAAGTTCACTCTCCTGCCCTGTAATGCAAACGCGCTTCACATTAGACCTTTTTTTCATGTCAACCTTGCCGCAGGAACTTCTTTAAAAACCGGCAACTGGTTAATTTTGCTGTATATATCAAGTGAAATCGTCGTCTTCTTTTACTGAAATTGACTAAAAATCGAATTTCCATTAGCCGGATACTTCATTTATACTTCAAACCTTTACTGATAACGGCCGGAAGTGCATATAACAACATATACAAAAGAGGCCTTTTAGTGCATTTCATTTGCTTTACATAACCTACGGTTTTTTTAGAGTCTATTGGCGAAATGCTGTCGTACCACAAATTGACTGCTGAGAAGCCATTTTGATTAAACCATTGCTCAGTAAGGAACAAAATCTCGAGTTAAAAGAGAGACAAAAAATAAGGATACTGTTAACGGTAATGATAGAGATAGCATCTACTCGTTCGTAGAAAATTAAAAACTCCGACATGCAGAAGTAACGCAACTGACAACCAAAAGAACAGATGCCTCGTTACTGCAGTAAAAAGCCATTTTTTCCACTGAGAACGGCGTCCCTCCCGAATTTTTTAATAGGTGTAAGTGGGATTGTTTTACTTTTTTTTTTTTTGAAAGTATGAGTGCTGCATGCCAAATCTGAAAGCACACAAGCTTGACAAGCTGAAGCTCGATATCTAAGCAAGAAATTATTCTTACCTCATGCATGTTTCTGTTTTTTTAGAGGAACCAAATTTGCCTTTAGAACAGTCCTTACCAGTGCGGGAACCTTCGAAAACCTGCAATGAAAGGAAAAATAAGTTAAAGCAAGTCTCACAGATTATGTGACTTCTAGTAAACAAGCTCTTTGTTTTTCACATTTTTCGAGAAATAAATCTTAAATGCAAGACGAAAGCCCTGAGCGTTGGCTGAGATAACACTCAGAACTTGCTTGTCTCATATTTACTTCATGCAACTTGAAGGTACGTACTCTTTTTCCTAAAAAAGGTTTTGATTTAGCCAAGCTACTTTCGCTTCTTAGTGCTCATTCACCACCTTCACTTAAGCGTTGACTGAATTGGCGCAGTGCGTTAAACCCAAGGTGTAGAATAGGCAGAATGCGTACGTGAGCTTTAACAGACCTTTTTCGTTTTGTTCCGTTGTTTCCAGCGATAACGATCACAAAGTGATGAAAATTTTATCTTTTCCGATCGAAACTAACATTTGACGTATATTAAAAAGCGCATTATTATTATGTAGCGTAATACTCAACCTTCTTCTTCACAAATGTCAAGAAAAGATAATAATTTCAAGTTAATCTCCACCGAAATAAAATCGTAGCAAATAACCTGCGTTCGATCTGCCGGGTGCAAATCAGTTAGTTGAGTCAAGAGTATGGCTATTGAGCATATTTAGTTGACGGAATTTCTTAGTGAAAGGATGAAAACCAAATCTTATCATGCTGAAGGCTTTCCAAACATCTCAAACTTTCAGGAAATGGATTGTAGACTTTCCTTTTCCCGTGTTCATGTGCATGAGCAAATTGATATGGAAACGTCTGCGATCAGGGTAACAGTTTGATGAATTATCTTTACACATAGAATTACGTAGGGCAAAAGCCCCCTTCTTTTTCGACGCACAGCTCCTATCATTTGCGATACAGACATATATGAAGAAGTTGAACAACTATGTTTTTCGTATATTTTAGCCTGGACCTATCTAGATGTTTGGTATCCTTAACTGCGTTTGTTTCTTAATGAAGTATTTATCTCTTTTTGGTGTTTATCGGAACAAATTACTTTAATTTCACTATTTATATATAGTTTAGGAGATTAGTAGAAATCCGAACTGGACCGTTTGTAAACTTATTGGGAAATCAGCACGTTCTCATCTCCCAAGGAGTAAAGCGGTCAAACGCAGAGCATGCGCGAGGCAATCACTTTTGGCCGCCCGCGCGCCCATTTCCCGCGCAAAATTTCAAAGGAAAACATAAGGAACAACTTTTGTCTCGAAAATTAAGCGAAAGAAGCTGTAAAAAGGAAACAAAAGTAGGGAAAAGGGAAAATTCGAGAATTTTCGAACCCAAAGTTATCATAGTACCTAGTATCCTGTTGATTTACCATTCTATTTTGAGATTAACTCAAAAAGGTTCTAAAACATCGTGACTTCTGTGGTTGTTTGCAATTCGTGCGAGACTATTTGGTTTTGACAGCCTGAAAGCATGCCACGTAGACGTAACAACGTTCGCGCTTGCGCAGACGTTTGACCGCGGTGTACCCCCAAGGGGATCGAAGGCGAGACTTGAGTAAACGGCGGAAATCGTGCGTAGACAATTTTTCCCTAACTTTCTCAGCCCAAAAAGGTTTTTCTTGCGTTATCTCAGTATGGTATTAATAGTAAAAATTGCAAAATATTTCACGATTGCTTCAAACTTTGGTTTGAACCCTTTTCACCTTCAGTTTTATTTCTACAATAATTGAGAACAAATTGCTTTTAAATGTCAAATTTTTTGCATGAAAATACAGTTTATAGATCAGGCTCTTGATCGATGGCAATGAAAAATTTTGGTGCTTTTTGTTACTGCGCTATTTACAATGGGTTGGTGATTAAATGTAGACATCGGTAAATACTGTAAGGTATATCCTGGCTACAAATCATACGGCCCCCAATCTGATTTCATGAACTCGCTATAATATTGAACACAATTGAGAAATTGGGAGAAAAAAACTACAATTGAAAGACGATCTAACGTGGAGAACTTGCGAATTGAATTGAATATAAAAAGTAGATCTTTACAACTACACCTCAAGCCAATGGGACAAAACCTACGAAATTTCTCTTTTTTCTGAGCATATTCTACACTTCTGGCTTAACATAGTCTTTGGGGTGATTCAATTGAACCGAACAGCTTCATATGAATTCACTTTCATGTGCATTCAACTCCAATTTGACAGACGTTGGATCCCATATCCGATACAATCTCGTTTATAGTATTTTAGTCTACGTTTGGAAAACACATATCTCATGTGTAAATTGTAATTTGTGATGTGGGCTCCTTTTGTATTTTATATTTTTAAATACATTTTGTTTTACTTCGCTAATATGTCCTAGGCAGGCTCCCACTCAAACCAGCTTGAAGCTAAACTGGGCCAGTCTGCACAAATATCGCCAATAAATAAATAAATAAAACACCGACTTGAGTCGAAATTTCCTTGTACGGCCATACAGAAAAGACACTGTGAAAATTTATACTCAACTTATCAGTTTTGCTGCTGCTTTGAAAGGCTTCTATCTAAGCAAAAATTAATTAACTTAAAATGGGTACTCACGGACTTACAGCGTCAAACCTTTGCCTCAAGACACAGTATAACGGCAAACATTCTTCACCAGTTAAATAATATGGCTAATTATTATCTGCCTGGTAACAAACGTTACAGAATTTTTCTCCTGAATCGAAGGCAAATGAAGCTTACATTGAGGTTGCAATAAATAAAAAATCTTTTCGGGGATTTCAGTTTTACCGCAAGACGTGGAGAGTAGAGAAAACGAATTTCTTTTGTAGCAGCCTTCTCCGTTGATTGCTCTACAACCAAATCTATTTTATACTCAGACGTATTTTGACTTGCAGATTCGAGTAAAGGTGAAAATGAAAGACCACAATAACCGCCATATTGGGAACGCGTCGACCCAAAGTGGAAACAAGCAATTTTGTTTTTTTTATTTTTTTCAATTGCACTATGTAAACGATAATTTAGCGCTCTTTTATTTCCTGTATTTTAATGAGGTAAGATATGATTATTGTGGTTGAGCTTTGGATTGTTATGTAAAGACAGTGGACTTTTTCCCATCGGTTAATGTTATGCACTTCCCGCTCAGAAAGAAATAACAAGGGATTTTACGTTTACCAAGGGCAGGCAACAAGAGCTTATCTAATTTGTATTTTGTTGCACTTAATTCCTTGACTCGTTGAAGCTGTCAGTAGGTCGGCAGGTGCACCTTAAAGTGATTCTTCGTCCTCCGCTTGGATGTACTGTTTAAATAAATAACACAAATCTATTCACTCGCTCTGGTGACATTTTTTTCTCAAAAGACTCTAACGAGCAATCTTGGATTTAAATAAAGCAACCTCGCCTCAATGATCTGTTTTACTGTTTTACAAAGAAGGACGTTAAAGAATCGCCTCGTCATAATTACTGTTGCAGTTAATTTTTCAAACATAGGTTAATCGTCGTTGGGCTGCAACTGATACGCACTTTTCGCTACTTCGTAGTAATGGTGGTGGAGAAACTTCTGCGTAAGAAAAGCGTTTATCCACCTGCGGAAAACCCCTAATTGCAGAAATGTTGCCATATAAGATAAACAAACAAAGCAAAATAAAGAACTAAACAAACAAAAAAAGAAACAATGAAAATCGGCCATAGCCAAATGTATAACAATAATTTCCCCTTGACAATGGTTAGACGTGCTGATTTCATTTTAAAAAAAATGCTAAGGTCAGAGAATGAATTGCATAAACAAGTAAAATATTTTTAACGTAAATGTGCCCTAAGGATTTCATTGCTGCTATCAATAGCAACTTTTAAATCGATTCAGTAGCCCAATCTCTCAATACGCCAATTGCTACCGTATGTGTGAACTTGCCCGCATAAACTGAGAAGACTTGATGACCAAAAACAATTATCAAAGTTTTACAGAATTTCACCTTAATTAAAATGATTTTCCATATCATTTTTATTGAGTCCACGGAATCATTCGCCAGAGTAATTTTTTAAGTACTTTTCTAGGAATTTGTGAGACATTTTGGTCATATCTATTGTGTCGCAGTAACATAATGAATAAAATATGCCTGACGAAATGGGGGAACCGTGAGTTAAATAGCTTGGTAATTTCGACATGAAATGTCTCGCGTTTGAAAAGGATCTTCGTTGGCAAGAATCGCTGCTTCTTTTAATTTCTGGATAGCCTTCAGTTAAAGTGCTTTAATGCAAACTGATGACCGACGACTTTCGTTGTTCCTTATGGACATTTTCGGCTAGCTTTTCAAATTAGAAAATCTTAAGTCTTGTTAAGAAGTGCACCGTAATCACCGTAAAAGTTTTCTGATATAAGTAGGAAAATTTCCTTTTTGCTCAAAATTAAGTGCTTTGTAGAAAACACGAGTTTGAAAAAGGTATGTGTGAAAATTTTGCATCTGAAGGTTGTAAATCTACTCACTTCTGGATTCAAATCATCTCTCGATGGTAACAGAGTTCAGCAATGGATATATGTATCTCTTGTGGACTAAGGGTGAGGGTTGTATATCGATCAGAGATGTTGTCAGCGCGGACCGACTGCGAAACTGAATAGAACTTTGTCATGCTGACTTAAATAATTTCCTTCGTTTTATTACATCAGCAAATGGCCAAGAGAAGTTTATTCAGCTGTTGCAAACGTGGGACATCATTTCGAAGATAAACCTTGTTTCTTAGCAACTATATGTGTGAAAATTGGGCGCTCTAGGGTGCCATTTCTTTCCTTAAATTGACTGAGCTCACCGGAAAAAAAAACCGGTGTTGGTTGAGCGACTATCCACGGGGACTCGGATATTTCTTCGTCGTACGTTGGTGACAAATGTTTCGGCATCTTCCTTTATAAGGATAAAGTCGTAATTTCATCTTATAACATATCAGCGGCCACATGCATTAACTTTTTAACTTAAAGCTTCATTTATTTAAATTTTCCTCTTTAAATGTTGTTTTGCCTAACCTCGAATTAGGTGGATGTTTAAGACGCATTTTTATCTTTTTTTGTTGTTCTGTTC